TGGCTGTGGTGGAGGTGCTAATCCTTTGTCTCCAGTCCGACTCTTTCACTGCCCCTACACCCATTAAAATGAGTTTATTGAGAGACTTGCATAGCCCAGGCTAGGTTTTTTGTTTGGAGCAGGGTTTCACTTTTGTAGCTTTGGCTGGTCTAGAACTCTGTAGATCAGGCTGGCCTCCAACACACAGAAATCAGCCTACCTCACTCTCCTGAGTACTGAAATTAAAGGTTTGCACCACCACTGCTTTAGCTCATTCATTTCTTAATTTTTCATTACAACACCAAAGGAAATTTCTGGCAAACTACAAGTGTCTTTAGGCAAATTGTCATAAGTTCACTGGGTGCATTTTTGAATGTTTTCAAGTTTTGTTGTGTGGAGGGGAGTTTTTTTTTTTTAATATTTACTTATTTTTTTATGTTTATGAACACTCGTTTTCATGCACACCAGAAGAGGAAATCAGATTCCATTGCAGATGGTTGTGAGCCACCATGTGGTTGCTGGGAATTGAACTCAGGACCTCTAGGAAGAGCAGTCAGTGCTCTTAACCGCTGAGCCATCTCTCCAGCCAATGGGGGAGTTTTTCTGAGCAGAAGGCAGATGATGAGTGATGTTTATGAATTTTTGTTCCCGAAGCAGCTCTGAGGACTCCTGTGCATGTTTCTGGGTCGCTGTCTTAATTGTGTTATCAGGGGAATTGCAGGTGGCCGAATCTGGAGCGCGTGTTCCCACCTGGCAAGGCCCCGCCTTCCATAGGGCAGGCTTCTCAGGTTCCCTGCCGAATGCCACTTGTGGTGGGTTGAACCCAGGGTTTAATTAGACTTGAATTTGCAGTGGGCATAGAAGAAACAACAAAAGGAGGCCAAGCAGAGAGCAAACAAACACCAGGTAACAGAGAGCTTGAAGAGATGGCTCATTGGTTAGAGCACTTACTGTTCTTGCAGAGGAACACTTACTTCTTAAGGCCCAGGTCAGACACCTACAACTGCCAGTAACTCCATCTCCAGCTCATGGCTTCTGTGGGCCCTGCACTCACAGGCCCATACCCACATGTAGACCCAGAGTTAAAAGTAAAATAAGGGCTGGACATGGTAGCATGAATGCCTTTGATCTCAGCGCTCTAGAGGCAGGGGCAGGCAGATCTCTGTGAGTTCAAGTCCAGGACATCCAGGGCTCTAATAAACAGAGAAACCCTGTCTCGAAAACAAATCAAAACAAAATTTAAAGATGAAAGAAAAGTAAACAGAAAGGTAAAGTAAAATCTTTCAATATTTTAATTTTATGTGCATCAATGTTTTGCCTGGGTGTATGTCTGTGCGAGGGTGTCAGATCCTCTGGAACTGAAGCTACAGACAGTTGTGAACTGCCATGTGAATGCAGGGAATTGAACCGGGTCCTCTGGAAGAGCAGCTAGTGTTCTTAAACACTGAGCCATCTCTCCAGCCTCAGAATAACTTTTTCCTAGAAGAAAAATTAGATCATCCCAGATTGGGGGCTTAGGACAGTCGGGGCACTCAAGTAGTGAACCAGTCTACCACCCCAGGCATGTGACCTGCCCTAGGGCCTTCAGGCCGTGGGATACTTTGTCTCAAATGCTGTGACTGCTCTCTTCCAGTGCAATCCTCCTGCTGTGTCCCTTTACTGGTATGGAAACTCTGAGTTCCCAGCATAAGATTTAGTAATTCTCAGGCCTGACCTCCATTGTGAGTAACTCAGAGGCCTCTGGACTGTCCTCCCTTCAAGCTCTTTGTTGAGTCTATCCCTTCACCACCTCCCAGCCTCCAGTCATCTGAGGTGACTAGAGGCTGGCAGGTTGCAGACTCCACTTGAAGGCCTGGAGTCTAGCAGTACCTCTCCCAGGTTGGTGTTCTTCCTGTCTCCGTGATGTGGCCCCATGCCTTTGGGAACAGCAAAGTCCCCCCAGAGCCTGTTCATGCCCTGAATATTTTCCTCCACTCACCTTCAGGCTGTCTAGCCAGCCCCCATGGCAGCTAAGTTTCTTAAATTTGTGCTGTTTACTTTTCAACTATGCAGCCTTGCACTCTGAGGGCTGATGAGAGGTCTGGGTTTAGAGCCTATGGCTGTCAAAATGTATGCTGTGGAAGTTTTAACAGTGTGCAGCCATATCAGTGAGGCTCTGTCCTGGTGGCTCTTACTGCTAAGGAGCTCACACTGGAATGATTATTGAGTGTGGGAAAGACAAGCCAGCCATTTCTTAACATGTGCTCTGCCACAGGGCAACATGAGATTTCTTTGAAGGGATTTCTATTATCATTTTCCATTTTTAAAAAATCCTTGCATTTCTGGGTGCTTTTCATTTGTTTAAGTACTTATGCCTATTATTTATCCTCATAGCCCTTTGACGTAGGCAGTGAAGGAATTATTTCTAATAGCAAAAACCCATAAAAATGCTGGTAGGGAAATTAGCAAAACCCTGTTTCTCTAAGCCCCTTTGTCTTTTGCCCTGCCTTGATTTCTGCTGCTGTGGGCAGTGCTCTGCATTCTGCTGTGATGACTTCCTTACTGTAGTGTGATTCCAGGCCAGTGTTCTTCCTACTGTCTCCACTCCATGCTCCACAGCTGTTGTCCCATCTGCCCTGGCGTCTTCCTCAGCATACGGCCCCCTTCCCCTTTCATTAGCCTCCCAAGCTTCTCTTCCAAGAAGTCACAGCTGACTTAAGAGGTGAGTTGAACAAACTCTGAGGCCAAGGCCTGCTTCTTGCTACAAACAAGTTTACCAAGTTGCTCTCCACTTGGTGGTCATGCAAGGTTGGGAGTGGTGCCCTTGGCGTGGTCTTAGCTCTGCCTGCTCTCTAGTTATTAGGGCGTCACCTGAGGTGGATGGTGGCAAATGTTAGCAGGCTTGCAGAGAGGGCCTGTCTGTGCAGTCCTAGCAGAAACGAAAGGGTTGACCCTGGCCCCTCAACAGGTCTCCTGTGTGACTGGCCAGAACAGCATAGAGGACAATGAGCAGAGGGGCCAGGTTCATACCAAGGTAAGAGCTTTCTCCTTCCCTTGTGAAGGTGAGGAAGCGCCTGAGGAGAGCATGGAGTCTGTGTCAGACTCTATCTTCCTATGGTCCTAAACTGGTGTTTGCTATTCCTATGCTGTTCTCATAAACTACATTGTAGAGGCCTTGGGTTTTAGACGGCCATGCTGTGGAGGTGGACATTAGCAGAGGTCAGCATCCAGGTTGTGCTTTTATCTTGGCCCACTTGGGAGAAGCAGGTTACCTGACTGTGTGTCACCATTCCAGGCCACCCAGCTTTTCATGGGTCCCTTTGGGCATCCTTTGGGGGTCTGAGGCCTCCGTATGGCTGTCCAACAGCCTGTCCCTGTTCTCAGCTACCTCACCCATATGAAGCCACCTCCTCTTTATTATTTTGCTTTATTTATTTAGGAACTAGAGAGGGGCCTCCATAGTTAAGAGCATTTGCTGCTCCTGAGTGGACCAGTTCCCAGCACCTATCTGAGGTGATTCACAACAGTTTATGGCTCCAGTTCCAGTGAATCTGATACCTCTGTCCTTCACAGGTACCTACATACCTGTATACACATCTATACACAAACACATATGCATAATAAAAAAAATAGTAAATCTTTAAAATTAAATTTATTTCATGTGTATGGGTGTTTGCCTGTATGTATGCCTATGCAGTATGCTTGCATGCGTGTGTACGTGCGTTGCTTGTGGAAACCAGAGTGTCAATCCCCAGGGACTGGAGCTACAGTTGTGAGCTGCTGTGTAGGTATTGGGAATTAAACCCAAGTGTTTTATGAGCGTGTCCAGTGCTCTTAACCACTGAGTTATCTCTCTAGTCCCTCTTCCCCTATTCTTAAAATGTGTTTTCTTTGCTGGGCATGGTGGCTCTCATGCCTTTAATCTCAGCACTAGAGGCAGGCGGATCTCTGGGAGTTCCAGGCCAATCTGATCTACAAAGAAAATGCCAGGATACAGGACAACTGGGGCTACACAGAGAAACCCTGTCTTTAAAAAAAAAAAAAAAAAAAAAAGTGTTTCTTGCCTCTGACTGAGCAGGCTAGGTCTGTGTCCTGGTTGGTGGATAGGCAGTATGCGGGTCCCAGGCATCCATGAGTTGGTTGGGAGACACATGGCAAACATTTATTGCGGTTCCTAAGGCAAAGGCAGAGCTTTTCCAGCCTGGTTTACTTGAAGCCTCCCCTCAGAGTTCTGGAAGTTCTAGGTCACAGCATTATAACACCACGGGAATTTTCACATAGGAATTTGTCCTCAGCAGACATAGGGTAGGTTGAAGCACGTGTTTTGCATTTACCACAGGAATCAGCCTCATGGTAAATGCTGCCTGTGCTCAGAGGACCAGTTCAAGGTGGTAGCCTTATGTTTGAGGCAGATGTGAGCCCTGGACCTTTGATTAAAGGGCCAGATTAGACTGCTCGATGAAGGCTGATACTGTGTTATCGGGCACACCCCAGTAGTAAGCAGAGCATGGTTGTGGTCAGCTGACAGACTTCAAAAGGTATCTAGGGGTAGAGAAGCTGTTGTAGATTCTCTGTGTAGGACCAGAGCAAGCACAGGGGTCGATAAAAGGCAGTGGGTGAGGTGTGAAGACAGAAGCAGGTCAGGAGGGTGTAGCTGTGGGCCCAGGGAGACAGGCTAGAAAGAGATGCCTGGAGCTCAAGGAAAGGAACATCCCCACTCTAGACTTCTCACCTGTGAGATAGAGAATTACTGGTGTTGTATACCAGTATATTTGAATGCCTTGATTCAAGAGCAATACATGAAAACAGCAGGCTGGGAGCTGACCAGAGGTAGAGTCACCTGCAGCAAAAACACACAGAAGGTCTGCTTTGATCAGAAACAGACAACAGATCACTTAGCTTTGAGTTCAGGGAAAGGAGCCAACGCCAAAATTTAGAACAAGGCCCTCTGATGCTGTATGGGCATAAGTTTGGGGAAGGGAGAGAAACTTCTAGGTAAGGACATTTCCAGCACCTATTCCCTTAAGGGAGATGGCAACATGTGACTAGCTTTGCAGGGATTTGTGTGGTGGAGCCATTACAAATATTTAGGGACATAGCCCTAATCTTTTGGGTAGATGACCAGCATTTTTTAGCTGGTTCAGTGAGTCCTGGTTTTATCCCAATATGGCAATTCATGAGTTCTCAGGAATCTGGAAATATTCTAGTCCACATGAGCCAGGGACCCTAAGACTGGACCTGTCTTAATGTCTGTGTTTAATCATGAAGGATACTGAGGCCTGAACCAGAGTCCAGGGTTGGAGGGAAGCAGGTTTTAAACACACATACATTTTTGTAGTGTTTTGTTGTTTTTTTGTTTTTGTTTTGTTTTGTTTGTTTGTTTGTTTGTTTTTTAAGACAGTCTTCCTGCACCAGGCAGTAGTGGCAGCATAGCACTCTGGGAGGCAAGGGCAGGTAGATCTCTCTGGTTAATAGGGCGAGTTCCAGGACAGCCAGGGCTGCCGAGACAAACTTTTTTTTTTAAGGCATTGTTAGGTAGCCCAGGTATCAACACTGTGCTCAGTGGGCTTGTGGCCACAAACTTAAGATCCTTCTGCATCAGTCCCCAAAACTCAAACCACAAATGGATGCCACCGTGTTTAATTTACATTGTTGGGTTTTTTGTTTGATTATTTGCTTGCTTGCTTGTTTTTAAGCTGTCTATTATTTTTATCTGTGTGTGTGTGTGTGTGTGTGTGTGTGTGTGTGTGCGCGCGCGCCACAGGCAGGCATTAGACTTGCAGAAAGTTAAATTGGATGTGACGAGGTACTTCACAGAGCAGCACAACTCTGAAAGTCTGCTGCTGCTCCTGTTTCAAGCACACCACAGGAAACTAAACTTGCTGCACTGCAGAGACATAGAAGCCATTTGCACCTGCCGCAGGTGCTTATTTGCAGTACTCCAACCCTGACAGGCATCTCTAGCACATTGCTAGGAATGTTAAGAGCCCATATTAAAGACTTCACACAAAACCTGAGGTCCTGTTCCAGCTCTGTTCCTATTCTGCTATGCATGCTCAGGGCCTCTCTGAACATTCTTAGTTTTCTTATTTGCAAAGCCTAGCTTTAAGGTATCTCCAACCTTCTATGCATCTAAGGTAGCATAAGTGTACTCAACACATTCACAGACAACAATGCCAGAGTCTGGAAGGATTGAAGGGAGTTTTAAGTGATCTGGATTACTCAATTCCCAGCATGCAGTGTGCTTTAAATAATAGGGGATGAGTCAAGATGCCCTCCTCTCAGATCTGCACAGCATTGCTTCTGTGGTGTGTCGGCTGCCGAGGGCCTCAGCTGCTGTGCCCAGTGCAACCTGTCTGGAAGGACCTTGCCCTCTCATTTCATTGTAGTCAGAGGAAAGAGGCAAGGATTGTTCAGAGAGAATGACTTCTCCCATGTGTATGTGGAGCTGTCACTGAGACCTGGTGCCAAGGTTGTTTTTTCCCATTTGTGTTCTTCTCAGATTGACTCATGGTGCAAAGAGAACAGCTATGTGATCGCCGGGTATTATCAAGCTAATGAGCGTGTGAAGGATGCAAGGTACGGGTTGCACACCTGTGGATGGAGGGTTAGAAGCCACAGAGCCATCACTGAGCTGCTTTTGACCCTCTCTGTAGGCTTCCATTGGCAAAGCCTGTCCAAGTCCCCATTTCCCACACCCTGCTTTATCAGGTGTGCAGGCCACTGGCCAGATGAGCAGCTAGGGCTTTGCCATGGCTCCTCTGTTACGAAAGGAGAGGCTCAAAGAGAGGGAGTAGCTTCCAGGTCTGCACCAACCTGACGCCTCCCACTGTCCAACTAGTTGCTGTGGAGGGCAGAGTCACTCTCTGGAGTGAGTAAAGTGGTTTGGGGTTTGGAACTCATAGGATGGGGCCTAGGGTAAAAAGTATGGTCTTTAATTGGCTCCAAGTTCCTACACCCAAGATGCCACACCTTGGCTCTTTCTCTTGAGCAGTTTGCATTTACTATCTTAACTGTTTCAGTCTGAGTCCCAAGAGCCTAGCCAAGGATACCTGCAGGCTTAAGGAGCTAATAAGTGGGCTGCTCTTCAAGGGGTGGGCCATAGATAGAACTCCGGAGCTGTGTGCAGGGACCAAGCCAGTGACAGCAGCCTCCATCCCATCCCTCAGCCCTCCAGGGCCAGCGAGGAAGAGCTGGTAAAGAAGGCCACCTCCAGAGGAGCAACATCCTTTGGCCACAGGACATGGTCAGCAGCCAGCCTGATAGGTCCCACATCAGGGAAGGGAGGCCCAGGTCAGTCGATACTGGTGTCCCTCTTCTTTGCCCTCTGCTGTCCTCCAGAGGCTTCCTTTGCTGCAGCCAGCTAGAAGCCAGGGAACAGCTGGAAGGTACCCACACAGTAAGTACTGGGGGTTTTCTCGTGTGCTTAGATGGAGCCAACAGACCCCAGTGTGCTTATGTAGTATGGACAATGGAGTGGCCCACAAACTCTCCTAGAAATAAAACACTGAGCTAGAGACACTCCACTACTGTCACCAAGGCTTACAATAGTTAAGAGCTTTGCCCATCTCAGGGTACCGTTGGGGGCCACCCAGAACCTGTGGAAGCCGTGTGCTCAGGTTCCCTGTTTCTGCTGCCACCTCTTGCTCTCTGTGCCCTCTGGCCCTTGGTTCCTGCTCTGGATAGGTGACTTGTGCCTATCCACCCTACACAAAAACTCATGTGGAGTAGGCTGTGGATGGCCCCATAGCTAACTCTGTACTAAGCCAAGTGGGCCCTTCAGCTTCTCTGTGAGGCTCCTGCAAGAAGGAGGTAGGTTACAACAACAGAAACTGAAGACCCACCCAGCAGTGTGGCTGGAGAAGCTTTGTCAAGTTGAGGTTCAGATGTCATTGATCAAACTGGGGTAGCACCAGAAAGAAAGTTCATGGCATAAGGAAAATGTGACATGGCTTTGCCTCCTAAAAGTAGTTTGTTTTAAAAAGAGAGAGGTCGGTTGCCAGGGCCCTAGACCTCCTGTGACTACTTGCTGTGGATGAACCACTTGAGTAGCAGGCCTGTGGAGAGTACAGGCCCCTGAGACTAAAGCTTCAGTACAGTCCACAGCCCAGCAGGGACTATTGCCTTTCAGAAGATGCCCTAGAGTCTACTATGGCAGTGTGCCACACAGTCCCAGTGGCCTTCTCAGCCCCCAACTCGTCTCACTGGGGCAAACACTCACAGTCAAATGGCTCCATTGCTGCTTATTAAATCAGGTATTGGTGAACTGTACAGATTGGGGGGGGGGGGCTGTTCAGTGTCTCAGCTAGAGCATATAGAGCTCATAGCTCCTTCTCTACAGCCCGAACCAGGTGGCAGAGAAGGTGGCCTCCAGGATCGCTGAGGGCTTCAGTGACGCCGCACTCATCATGGTGAGTCTAGCTCTCATGCTCCAGTGTGAGCTTCCCTCCTGAAGTCTGGAACAGGTGTCACACACTGGTGGTGGCTGAGTGCCACTGCAGCTGCTGCTTTGGGGTGGGGGCTTTCAGCTCCAGCAGTCCTGGTCTGCTCCCCAACCTCACTAAACCCAGAACCCTAGTGGTAGCCCAGTAAATACAAGGATCACTGGGGAAAGCCAGTGTAGCCTGGGGGTCAGGAAGTAGGCCTGCATAGTCTCCGTACACAGTCTAGGAGGGAGGGGAGGAATCTGGTTTGAGTGTTCTGCTCAGTTTTTGTGGAAAAGTGACCCTGTGCGAGAGTTCCCTTGGTGTGAGCATACCTGTGCTGCTGCTTGCTTGCTTGCTTGTCATAAACCCCCGCCTTCTCCTCAGGTGGACAATGCCAAGTTCACGATGGACTGCGCAGCACCTACAATCCATGTGTACGAGCACCATGAGAACAGGTGGCGATGCAGAGACCCACACCAGTGAGTGCAGTGTCCTCCTGCGGGCCGAGGCTTAGGGCTCCTGTGTAGCACGGGATCTGGGTGGTACTGGCTGGTTGCCCATGTTTGGTTTCTGATCACACAGATGCTTCGGCCATGTCCCTCTGGGTTCTTTAGTGCCCTATTTGGAGGGAACCTGTCCATTCAGAAAGGTCTTAGGTCCATCTTCACGTTTTCCCCAGCAGCTTCTCTGTCCTTAGCAGCCTGTGTGCTCTTAGCAGCTTGTGCACTCTTGAGGTTGGTATGAGGCTGACTTTCCCCGTCTGCCCTGCAGCGACTACTGTGAAGATTGGCCAGAGGCACAGAGGATCTCGGCTTCACTCCTGGACAGCCGCTCCTATGAAACACTCGTGGATTTTGATAATCACCTGGATGACATTCGGAACGACTGGACAAACCCTGAGATCAACAAAGCAGTTCTGCACCTGTGCTAGACGTGGGCCACCATGACTGGAGACTCCAGTACAGAGAGGAGGAAAACCTATACGTTTAGAGGAATAGTGGTGGCTTAGCCTCATGGGAGCTGCAAGTCTGTGGTGTGTGCCTTGGAAGGGGGTCCAGTTGGCATCCTTCAGGGCAGGGCTATGGAGAGGTGTGGGCTGCCTAGACTCTGGGTCCTTAGTCCTGGGCTGCCCAATCCTGCCCATCAAAGCTCTTTCTGCTTGCCCCAGGTTATTCCCATTAAACAGCTCGAGCCTTTTATAACCTGGAGAGAATGCATTGCAGTCTTTACTCCAGTGAGTGTGTGTGTTTACTTTGGCTGAGCCAGCTCCAGGCATCCTGGCATGAGACGGCGTCATGGGCTGCTGGAACGTCATCTGATCAGCTGTGTTGGTGTTGGAGCTAGGAGCTACACCGTGCAGTTAGCCAGCACCGTTGCCTGAGAAGCCTTGCTGTGCAGTGGTCACAAGCGCATTGGTGATGGGAGCAAAGACCCCATGAGAGGAAGCCGAGCCCATGAACTTCCCAAAGCCAGTCCATCCTGACTCCGCTACTCCAGGGTCTTCAGAATGAGCTGCCTTAGTGTCCAGAGTACCCAGCGTGTCCCAAGCAGTGTGCTTGCTAGCTCGACTCATGTGACCAAGCATTCTGACCATCTTAGGAAACAGTGTGCAGGCTTTCTAGTATGCTGTTTTTGCCCTTTGTGTTTTACAGAGAGAGCAGTGCCTTTCCTTGGGCTTCATGAAGCTGGTGACAGCATTCCCCACACTCTTTATTAAGTGGGACAGCCAGGCTCACCTTAGAGAGTGGGCCAGTGGGCTTGTGTGGCTTCTCCCCTTATTTAGCATTTTGCTCTTGATTTTTGTTTGTTGTTTGTTTAGTTCTATTTGGTTGACAGTGGCTGTTCATGGCCTAGTTGGTTTGGTGCTCACTTATGTGGAAGAGCCTGGCCTGGAATGTGCAGTAATTGCCTTTGCTTCTCAAGTACTAAGATCATCCTTCCCTACTGCCCTTAACTGATTAAATTGACATTGTCCCCCCCTGAACAGAGGAAGATGTGAGGCGTCAATCCCCACCCTTCTTCACCCTCGCTTTCAGGGCTTGATTGCTCATCTGTATCAGAGGACAGCCAGGGACACACACCCAGCGTCACCCAACCCCAGCACTGCCTTGTTTATTTTTGAGATGGGAAGTTTCAGGATGAGCTTTCATAATGGCTGCTACACAGCAACTCACAGTTCTTTCTGTCCAAGCCAGGTATGGTGGCCCATGCCTGTGTCCTCTAGGTCTTCATGAGTTTCAGGCCAGCAGACTGAGCAAGAACCTGTAACACTGACTGCTCATCAGAGCATTCTTACCTAGCTCTGAAATCTGAATGGGGAGCAATTCCTACATTGTGTTCAACTCGCTTACAGCTATGGCTACCAAACAGTTCTGATGGACTTCTTCCCTGGGAGCAGAACCCAGGGCTTCACCCATGAGTTGCCTCCCAGCCTTGGGCGGACATTTTAACCTTTACAGCATCTACCCATCTGTCCTGGTTGTTTTTGTTGCTCTGATAAGGTACCAAAACTACTTTAGGAAGGAAATAGTTTATTTTACAATTCTTAGATCAAAGGGCAGGAACTGAAGCAGAGGCCATGGAGGAACTGCTTGCTCTCCTCTGTGGTTTCCTCAGCCTGCTCTCTTACATAGCTCAGGAGAGCCTGCCCAGGGGCGGCACTGCCCACAATCGTGCTCCTCCGTAATCTAATGGCACCAATTCCTCAAGTGATGTTCCCTCTTCCCAGGTGACTACACTAGTTTAGGTCACCTTGACAAAAACTAGCAATGTATAAGGGTTCTCAGAACTGCTAGAATGGGGGGACTGATCCAGGTGTGTGTACCCGTACATGTGTGTAAGACAGGATTTATGGGTTTATTAGTCACAGGTTATGGTCTAGCGATGGACAGTCCAAGAATCCTGGTTTAGTCCACAAGTCTGGATGTCTGAGCTGGTCTTAAGTATATACTGAAATTACAGAGTAAGCCCTGATGCCATTGAAAGAATGAACCTGCCCATGAGAACAAGGCTAAGCAGGCAAAGCAACAACAAAAAGCTTCCTCCTTTCATGTTCCTTGTAGAGGCTGCCACGAGAAGGTGGTTTCCCAACCGAACAATACAGTCAAGAAAAGTCCCTCCTAGGTGTACCCAGCAGTTGGGGGTTTAGTTAGTTCCAGGAATGATCAAGTTGACAACTGAGAATAGTCATCACCGTCAGACAGTTGACCCTCTGTCAGCTTGACACACAAACACAGCATTGTTAAACCATAACTTTTCCTCTCTTGTTTATTCCCAAGTTGATTTTGGTTACCGTTTCAGCACAATAACAGAAACCATTAACTATGAAATTTTCTTAAGCATTCCAAAATTCTAAAGGATTTTTAAGATCTCACCATAAGGCAGTGATGAGAAGATAGGGCTGTCTAACCTGCTCTAAATGTGTAGGGTCTGTCTATTGAAATGGTGCCTGTTGTAGGATTTTCCATCAGTTTAAAAAATTTTAGTGAATTTTCTGCTTAATTGTTTTGCTTGTTTGTTTTGGTGGGGGGTTGTTTTTCTGTTTTGTTTTGACTGGTCTTGGCTGGTCTGGAGCTTGATATGTAGACCAGGCTGACCCTGAACTTAAGATCCACCTGTTTCTGCTTCCTAGGTGGTGTGATAAAGGAATTTTTCACCTCTAGAATTGTCTTTAAGAATTAAGGATGACTAAGCCAGGCATGGTGGTGCTTGTCTTTAATTTCAGCACTCTGAAGGCAGAGGCTGGCAGATGTTAGTTCAGGCAGCTTGGTTCTAGGAAACCCAAGGCTATATAGAGAAACCCTGCCTCAAAAAAAAGGGGGAGTGGGTATACTAGCCAGGCATCCTAGAGCTCAAATTGAGACAAAATTGCCACAAGTTAAGGGCTACATTGTGAGTTCCAAGACAGTCTGAGGCTAGAATGAGGACATGTCCAAAAAACAATCAGGAGGGCTGGAGAGATGGCTCAGAGGTTAAGAGCACTGTCTGTTCTTCCAGAGGTCCTGAGTTCAAATCCCAGCAACCACATGGTGGCTCACAACCATCTATAATGAGATCTGGTGCCCTCCTCTGATGTGAAGGCACACATGCAGATATTGTACACATAAATAAATAAAATTTAAAAAAAAAAAACAATCAGGAAATAATACTAAAGGATACTAATATGGTAAAACAGACAACAGCCTCATCAATGATAACAAAGTGGTGTGCTGCTTAGGAAAAGCTGACTGCTCACTTAGGGGTATGTAGGGTCTTTGCCTAACCCACGTGTGCCCAGTGCCCATGAAATAGTAGCTTTGAAGTCCTGGGAAAATCTTGGCAGGCCAGCAAAATGGCTTAGCAGATAAAGGCACCTTTCAACTGGCAGCCTAGCTTATGCTTAGGACCCTCGTGTTAGGAATCACATGTTGTCCTCTGACCTCCATGCGTGTACCAGGGTGCACAGTTGATAAATAAATGTTATTTTTAAAGCCTTCGTATAAGTAGCATTTATTCTAGGAGCTTATTTTTCTGGTGTCTGAGAAACCTATTATTTCTGTATGATATTTTCCACTTCCCATCACTTGCCTTTCTGAGACCTACCCATTTTGGGTGAGATTTCAGGTTTGCCAGAAATCTCAGTTGAGAGCTTTGCCTTGCCAGCTGGCTGGTAAGAACATGAAAGAGTCGGCAGGGGAGGGGTGCTTTTTGTGGTGCTGGCAATTGAACTGGGGCCCATGCTCAGTGAGCACTCTACCCCGTGAACTTTATCCTCGGCCCTGTAAATTATTCATCCTCTCCAAATTGGCCTACAATGTCTCGTGTGCCCGTGATATCCTCAGTGGGCCTGTGTCATTCCCTCACAGCTGTTTCTGAGAGCTTCCATCCCCAAAGTTCAGCTGCCTGGAGAGCTGCTCTGTGCAGGTTTGTGAAAGGAAGGCTGGAATCTGGAGTGCTCGCTCAGGAGTCAGATCTAGGGCAGCTGTAAAACAGCCAGGGATCGCCTTCCCTGTTGCCTGTACTCAACAAGCAGGCGACACCAGCCCAACCAGGAACTGTTCCTTACTAGAGGTGAGCCTTGGCTCAAACTTGTGTCTGCCAAGTGGAATAGCATGCTCTGTTTAGTTTTGGCTGAGAAAATTCCACACACCATCATGAAGTCTTAATGAATTGTACTCCTGAATACTGGTGGCATCCCATGGGCAGAGCCCTGCCCATGAGGAACAACCAGGAGTGGGGAGTCAATAGTTAGCAGTGTCCAGCCTCAGGATCAGCCACATTTCCCGGTTCTCTCTGTCACCTGCCCCAGGGAGGGGGCTGGGCTCCTGACAGGCCTTGACCCCTTGAGGTAGCTCAGAACCTGTCAGGAGCCCTATACCACACTGGATAATCCAGAATGGGCTGGGTGAGGCCTATTTGCCTCACTATGGTTCTGTGGCCCTGGGCATGTTCCTGCCCACAGCCCTCTGATAACACCCACCTCAGGGCCATGCTGAGCAGAGAACATAACACAGTATACTCGGGTGAGAAAGCTTTTAGCCTATGTACTTAACCTCTAGAACATATCACTGGCCAGATGCTTCCAAGATCACCTGGCCATAGATGACAGTAAGTACCCAAAAGACAAGTGAATAAAATATTTAAAAGGTGGCACAGTTTTCACCTCGTCCCTCTGTGCCCATCAGCTTCCCCTTCACAAGATGTCTCCATTTACAGATGGGTAAACCAAGGCCTGGCCAGCCCGAGAGCAGTAACTTCTCAGGTTCACACCACAGTAATGGAGGAGGGAGTTTGAGCTGGTGGTGCCCCTAGAGACAAGACAGTGGCTCCGTGTTGCTTGGCATGTGTGAGACCCAGGTTTGGTACCCTGTGCTGTAGAAAACCCTCTTTCTACACTCATACCCTTCCAACCACAGTCCAGGCCCAAGTGCCCTTTATCGGAAGCAAAGAGGTAGTTTTTTTGTTTTGTTTTGTTTTGTTTTGTTTTTTAAGCATACCTGCATTATCCTTCTGCCATTCCCTTTGTTGAGTGGTCAGAGCTACAGCAGTGCTGCAAGCAGAGGTGAACAGCGTGATGCCATTTTCTGGAGGCCCATGCAGTGAAGAATCAAAGGCAGAGCAGTGGGCAACAGTCTCTAAGACCTGGCCCAAAGGACTCAGACCTAATGATGTGGGGGCCCAATGCCAGCATCTTCAGCAGCTAGAGCCAGTTTGTTTTGTTTGGTTCAGACTGGCCTTGAACTCATAGTCGTCCTTCCTCTACTTCCTAAATGCTGAACACAGCCATGCCTGTCACCTACAGTGTTAGCCATTCTGGTGGTGTGCAGCCATTGACTGAGGCATTTTTTTATCTAAATATCAAATAAATAGTACGGCTTTGAAGCCGTCTACGGTGGGAGGAAGAGGCAGGAGGGTTGTGGGAAGTCAGCCTTGCTACAAATTTGGGACCAACCTGGACCATAGGACCTCGTCTCAAAACAAACAATAAAAACAAAGGGGGAAATAACGCTCTGGTAACAAGCCAGGGATTGGGACCTCAAAGCGCGGATTTGTAAGCAGGATGCATACAGAAAGGATCGATTGTACTACATTAAAATTAAGAAGCTTGTTCATAAAAAAGGACAATTAGGAGGTTGGCATTCAGGAAAGCAGGGCTGGGAGATGACCTAGAGGGCAAAGTGGTCTGTGAGGAGCAAAGCTCAGATCCCAGCACCCACATGAAAAGACAGACAGCCACAAGCCCCTGTGATGCCAGCACACCTGGTTGGTCCCTGGAGCTTGCTCGTTGGTCTAGCTGAGTCAGGAAAGAGACCTGTCTCAAAAACTAAGGTAGAGGGCTGGAGAGTTGGATGAGCAGTTGACAACATGGCTTGGGTTGTTTTCCCAGCACTCTCACTGGGTGGCTCACTGGGTAACTCCAGCTCCAGAGATCAAGCCCATTTTCTGGCCTCTGTAGGGCATGAGTTCACACACACACACACACACACACACACACACACACACACCAACTTTTAAAATGTTTGTATAAGGTAGGATGCAGGGCGTGGTGACACACACCCTTCATCCCAGCACTCTGGAGGCAAAGACAGGTGAATTTCTGTGATTTCCGGAACAGCCAGGGCTATGTAGAGAGAACTGCCTCAATAAGTAAGGTGGGCAATGTTTGAGAGAGGCACCGGACATAGATACACACGTACATTCATACCTGGATGGACATGTGCACACACACACACACATACGTGTACACACACACACACAAATCTGGGATGCAGGTGTGGTGGCCCATGCTTGTTAATCCCGGCACTCCGGAGGCTGAGGCAGAAGGATCCAGAGTTCACAGCCAGCTTGAGCTACATAAACCGCCTCTCAAAAACATTTTGAAAAACTTTGGAAGCCGCACATTGTGAGAAGATACTTGTAACAGAGTCACCTAACAAAAGACTCCTACAGCCTTGCTTGGTGGCACATACCTGTGATCCCAGCACTTGGGAGGCTGAGGCATGATAGTTGTGAGTTCAAGACCAGAAGCTACAGCGTGAAACACTGTCTCAAGACAACAAGGGAACTGGAGAGATGACTCAGCAGTTAAGAGCACCAGTTGTTCCTGCAGAGGACCCACTTCGGTTTCCAGCATCCACATGGAGGCTTACAACTGTCTAATTCAGTTTCATAAGATCTGTCTTCTAGCACCAGGCATGTGTGTAGTGCAGAGACACAAATGCAGGCAAAACACCTGTGCTGATTTGAATAAGAATGATGCCCATAGGCTCATGTATTTGAATGATTGGTCCCCAGTTGGTGGAACTGTTTGGGAAGGATTAGGAGGTGTGGCTTTGTTGGATTAGGTATTTCACTGGGGGTGGGTTTTGAGGTTTCAAAAGCCCACACCATTTCCAGCGTATGCTCTCCATGCCTCTTGCTGTGGATAAGGATGTGAGCTCTCAGCTACAGCCCTAGAACCATGCCTACCTGACTGCTGCCAGGCTCCCCACTGTGATGGTCATGGGCTCTAACCCTCTGAAACTGTGAGTTCCAAATTAAATGCTCTCTTTTATAGTTAGCTTTCGCCAGTGTTTGTCATGGCAATATAAAAACAACTAAGACTCTACCCATACACATAAAATAGAAATGGAGATAAAACATGTTTCTTAAAAAAAAAAAAAAAAAAAAAAAAAAAGAAATCTATCCAGTGTACATATAAAAATTACCAAGTCAGGTGGTTCTAACTAATCGGGTATTTTCCAAAAGGCACCCAACAGGCAGCAGGTACATAAATGTCTGTCACTGGTGTCCCCAAGAAGGAACAAACAGAAAATGAGGGAATTCCTTAACAGGGAATGATGTACATATGAGGTCCCATCACCTGGACGCAGGCCACATCAGACCTGAGGTCCACACTGGCCCACACTCAACCACAGACCAATTGTCCCATGCCAGGACGTGTGCTCTCCACACCAGCCTCTGGATGGAGAATGGAGTTCTTGGTTTGAGAATCACAACTGAGGAGTTCTCCAGAGCTGTTCAGACAGCCCCTGGGGACTTCTACCAAAGTCCCCTGGAGTCCCACATTTGCCATGAGCGATAACACCTGCCCTCACCTTGTCTCTTCCAAAGCTCAGACCTAGACCCTTCAGTGTCTCCTGTTCTTGGGGTTGGTACCATCCTCTGAAGGTACCATTTGGGTGCCCACTGGAGACCAGCTGCCCAGGGTGCCTAGCTCTGCCCGTAAGTGTCTGCTCTGCAGGCATTTTCAAAGCAGCAGCCCAGGGCCCTGTACTTTGAGATGCTCCATCACCTCTATCAGGAGGGTGACAGTTAAAACTGTCATCATGAGCTGGCACACTTGCTGATGCAGGCCCATTGGACATATCTATGTGACCAAAGGGACCAGGAAGTAGAGTCTGTGTGCATTTTAGGGGACCTGAGGAGCAAGTGGCAGGGGGAGCTCAGAACTCAGAAGTTCAGGCCGACTAAGAGCATCGCTGCTCAGCTCCTTCCGGAGAACCTCAAACCCTCCATCCAAGAGTCCCTTGTGGAAGTTATCCAGGAGCCCTGCTTCTGGCTGCCTCGTCCCTGGTCCCTGGACTGCCTCAGTGCTCCAAGCTGGCCTCTCAGCCCTCTCTTTTGCAGTGTCTGAC